TTGTCATGGTTGGAAGGGGTGTCAATACAAACCACTGGGGGGGAGGTTCCGTTGTGTGTATGTGGGGGGGGGGGGGGGGGGGCGTACTGTTATGTTTCGCATGCCTTAGCGGTTAGACCATTGACCGCGCGTCCTCGAAGGATGAATCATGGTTCCCAGAGCACCGATCACCGATGGCCAATCGTCCTTCCTAATTGCCAGAGGTGGCTCAGAAATGTTTTCCCTAGTCTACCTATCCTAACGATATCACTTCCCGCCTTCTCAAACTACTTCCTATGCCCCACAACAGCTACCGCCTTCTCGTGTCTATTCCATGCCTCAACCGTCTCCTTGTATCTTCCTTGTATTTTGCTCCAGCTCACTCACTTACACTTCCCTCTCCTTCGTACAACCGACATTCCGCAACTGCATGAACCTGGTCTTCGCACTCAGAGCCGCAATCACATTTGAACTTGCCGTTTTCATCGTCTGTCTTCCTAAATCTTCGTCTACGTTCTCGAAGGCCAATGTCCCCAGTCCTTAAGTTTGACCTTCATCTTTGTCCCTGCATCCATTGGTCCATGAAGGTACTCCTTGAGCCCTATTCCTTCTGTCAACATTCCGTGCACTTCTAGACCCTCCTTATCCTTGGTTTCTTCCTTAGATTATATTTTTCTCTCTCGGCAAAAGCAACAGATGTCTTCTACTTGAACCCCTCTAGAGCTTCCGTTTCCAGCGTATCACCTTCGTCAATTTCGAACTCCTCCATACATCATCTACAACCTTGACCCACTCCGTGGGTTGTCTACCCCTCTTTTTGTTCACCCACTTCGCCTCCCTGGCTATTCTCGGCAACCTCTCCTCTCCCATACCGCACATGCGATACTGCCATGTCAGCTTCGTTGCGTCTCTTCCCGACCGTAGGGATTGGATCCCCAGTTCTGCCCTGACGGCTGCATTACTTGTGCGCTTGGAGCATCCTCGAATGACTTTCGCTGCTTTCATTTTCGTCGCCTCGAGCTCTTTGACTACCTTCTTATTTCCTTTCCATACTTCTCCGGCGTACTCTAGCGGCGGTACGATTGCGCTCTTCAAAACTGTAGGTGGTGGTGGCGGGGGATATTGGTTACCCTGAATACGTGCTGGTTGCGTCTTATCCTCTCAGATGTACCTGATCC